GACGGGAGCAGAACGGGGGCGATTCGGGGGTCGGGGGGTGCCGGAGGCTGCTCGGGACTGCCCATTCCCCCCGTTTTCCCGGGCCGTCCCGCGGACGTGATCCCCATCAGGCACCCTAGAACCGGGTTCCTTTTTGGGAAACCCACCAGGACAATCCTGCTCAGCCCTGGGGGCTGGCGCAGGTGTCCCACCTCTTGTCCAAACCTGGCTAGTCAGGGCACACAGGCCCCCACGAGGGGCTGAGGGGACACTGGGGTCCCTGAGCAGCAACTCGGCAGTGTTGACACCATGGGTCATACACAAACAGAGGCTTCCGCCCCTTGGAAAGGGCAGGGAGAGATTTTTGGGCCCTTCAGTCAAAGCCATGACTGTGCAGGGCTTCAGTGCCCATGAGGATCAGGGTACATTCTTCTGGTCAGCCCTGCCCTGCCACCCCAGGGCTGGACACCCCCATCATCACCCACATCACAAACCCTGCCCCTTCAGTACCCATTGCAGTGCTGGGACCTGCCAGGTCCCTGATGAGGAAAGGGGCTTTTCCACTCCCACCTCCCCATTCACCACCCTTGGCTCTAAGCGTGAGCCTGGCTCCCTTTGTGCCCCACCCAGGATGCCCCACATTCCCTGGCTGACACCCTCTCATCCCCACAACCCCACAGTGGTGCAGAAGGAGCACAGAAGCAGGAAAACTGAATAAATCATAGTGTGCTGAATTATGGAGGAGCTGGCAGGCACGTAGCACAGGCCACGTGGGTGTGATGCTGGTAATGCCAACGTGCTCTGCCCTCGTCACCTGCCCCAGTGCCCTTCCTTGTTAGCACCCAAACAATCAGGGAATGGATGCAGCTGAAGCTGCCCCTCACCATCGCACATTTTTGCCTGCTTGACTCCTACCCATTGGGATCCTGTCCCCAACTGCATCCTGCCATAACCACCAGTCTCCTCTGGAGTGAGGACTAGAGCAGGTTCCCTCAGTCCCAGCCTCTCCCTCTTCCTGGCACTGGTGTTTCCCTTGGTAAGGTCTGGGACACAGCCAGCACCACCCACTGGTCCCTCCAGGGACCCCAAGGACTCAAGCACGCGTCCCAGCATGGACAGGCAGGAGCTGCTTCTTCCTAATCCCCTGCCCCAGGATTTGCTCCTCTGGGCAGGTTCCCTGTGCCTGTGCAAGCAGATTACAGGGGGCTATTTCTGACGGCAGCTTAAAGGTTTGAGTAAAGGAATGACGCCATGGGCCCCCTCCTCACCAGCACATGCCAGTGGCACTGGAGGCCTGGGCACCTGTGACCTGCAGGAGTCTGGGACTGAGAACCACCAGCCCCGTGGAGCAGGGCTGGGTTGCTGGGGTGGTGGTGCTGCATGCTCCCTGCCCCATGGCACAGAGACAGGGTTTGGGGCTCAATCCCTTGTGCTGTCACTGCAGGGGCAGTGCTGAAGGTGGGGGTGCACCCCACTACCTGCTTAACGCAGAGGGGAGCAGCCAGAAGGGAAAGGCTGCAGGCACAGGCAGGGCATGGTGAGGATTTACCCCCAGCCCAGCCTGGTGTGAGCAGGTGGGTGGAGGCCTCAGCCCCATCTGTCTCCCACTGCCCCACATCCATCCCCCAGCCCCTTGCTCTAATCCTGTCCCCGCCACACGCAGGCCAGAGGCAGAAACAAAGCAGAGATAATCCGTCTGTGCCCCCCGCTGAACCCCGACCTCACGCCGGGAATGGGCCACGTCACAGTGCCATGGGCATTGCCCCTGCCTGGCCATGGGGGCTGCAGGGATCTTCCCCTGGGGTCCCCACAGCTCTGAGGGCTTCACTGGCAGCAGGGACCCTGAGCCCCACTCCAGGCTGTCCTGACTGGGGGAGCAGCAGCCCTGGGATTCACTGGCACACCTTCTGCCAACCCCACCAGTGTCCCACCCCTGTGAGCCACAGCACAGCCAGGGCAGCAGGGACGTGCAGGGGGTCCCGGGAAATGATGGGGGCTCTCTCCCAGCATCCGGCTTGGCTCAGCAGAGCTGCTCCCAGAATTAGCCCGGGATGTTCCGGGGGAGGAAATCCAGCCCGTCAATCCCATTAGCAGCGATTAGCTCCCAGCCTGTCCTCGCCATCACGACCCCGCGCAGACACTGGGCCTGTGCCCACCACCCTCACCAACCCCACCACCCCCAGGCTCTCACGGAAATACTGCAGGGTCTCCTCTATCTGCTGGGGGGTGAGGGGGGCTACGGGCTGCGGGGGGCCGCTGGGGGCTTGCAGCCAGTCGCCGTGGTCGTAGCCGAACACGGTGTCAGCCCGCAGAGTGTAGCGGGGCAGCTGCTCGCCCAGCAGGCTGATGATCTCCACCTCGGGGACATCCTCGCTGCACAGCTCTGGGGACAGAGGAACACGGTGTCAGCCCAGGGTGGGGGGCATATGGGGGCAGTGGGCTGCACAGGGGGCTCCTGCACCCCTCAGCCCACTCTGTCTCCATGGGCTTTGGGCTGGTGCCACCAGCTGGGTCTGTCCCCAGAGCCACCAGTGTAGGGATTAGGGGGTCCCCCGCAGGGTGGCACTCAGGGACCCCTCCCCAGCTCTGCCCTGCTGCCCCCTCACGGCCCCGCTGTCCGCGGGCAGGCTCCTGCTGCCATCTCCCGGCCACGCTGCGCCCGGCCGAGCGACGCTGGGGACAGCGGGCGTGGGATGCAGCGCGGGGTGAAGGATGCCGGGACAATGGTTCATCTCCGGCCATAGAATGGGGACAGGATGAAGAAACAGTCCAAAGCAGACCCAGCTCCTCACCCCCCAGTTCCCCCAGGGCACGCACTGGCACCCTCAG